GTGTGTGCATGTTTGTGTGTTTGTGTGTGCATGTTTGTGTGTGTGTGTGTGTGTGTGTGTGTGTGTGTGTGTGTGTGTGTGATTTCCTTGTGACTTATTTCCCTGACAAATAGTGTCTGGAAGTCTTAGGCAATGCTCCCTAACAGCACTGGAAGATTGGAAGCTTCCAGAACTCCTAGACAGGACAGGGACCAGTGTGTCCACTGACCAGTGACGAGGACCTCAGGCATCTTGAGCGTAGAGAAAGTCTTGGGCCTCAGTCTTCCCAAAGACTTGAGACTCAAATGCTCTCAGGGCAGCACAACAAAATCTGAAGAGGTGGGTCTTCCCGGCAGTCTGCTCTTGTGTCAGTGTGAGGAGCAGGGGGTGTCCCGAGGCCTGTGTTTGTTCCCTGCTCCAGACCCCCTCTCCAGGTGTTTTGGGTGGAGTGTCATTTCCTTCCAGCAGGGAGAGGTGAGCTCTAAGAAGAGGCCCACCGTGGAGAGGGAGCAGCAGAGAGCAGCAGAGCTACCTCCAGCTGAGGAGAGGACTTGGTGACGTCAGACTGAGAAAGGTCAAGCTGGAAAAGGTCACAGGAATTGGCCAGAGGGGAACTGGGCGTGTTTCTGCCCACGGCACTGCTGTACACCCACTAAGAACCCAGCCTGGGAAAGGGTCCGGGGAAGGCTGGCCGTCCATCTTGGCCCTCTTGCCCCTCACTCCCCTAGCCATGGAAGAAGCTGTGACACTGCCTGCCCAGAGCATCCCCCAGGGGCTTGGCTGTCACACATCAAGATCCACACAGGTCAGCTCCTCGCAGGGCTAAATTAGCATCGTTCAGCATTCTGCTCCCTCTGGACTCCTGGGGCCTCGCGGATGCTGATGATGCTGTCATAAAGCACTGTCATCTGGCCCCATCATTCATTCTGATGTCGGAGCTGGTGTGGGGAGCACATCCTATCCTGTCTGGCTGCATTCAGGGCAGGGGCCAGCAGTCGCTTCCTCCCTGTGAGCACACGCACCATCAGCCCCTCACAGGACTTCCTGTTCTAAGCCTATGGCACTCAGGACTTGCTTTAGCAAGCAGGGTACCGTGGAGGCTTCAGAGTGCTGGCCGGGCTAGGGCTCTGCTCAGTTTCTGAGTACTTTGCTAGCATCCTCAAGGGTTCAGTGGGGGAGGGACCTTGCTGTGTAAGCATGAGGAGCTGGGTTCAGATCCTCAGCAGCCGTGCGAAAAGTTGGGCATGGCCCCATGCACCGGTAACCCTGTGGGCATACAGAGGCCAGAAAATCACCGGGGCTTTCTGGCTGCCTGCCTAACTCCAGGTTTAGTGAAAGACCCTGTCTCAGGGGAATAAGGTGGAAAATGATGAAGCAGGACTCCAAACATGCTCAGCTCGGGCCTCCACATTCCCATACAGGCATGTGTATGTGCTATCACTTACCACACGTACTTTCGCCACACACACACCACACATACATGCACATACAACACACACACACACACACACACACACACACACCACACACTGGCCAATGGGGCTCCCTCGCTTGCTTTGGGACACAGACACGTACATCACTCAACTGACCTGGAGGTGGACAAGGCTCCTAAAATAAAAGTAGCCTCCTAGACCCCCCAGCCAAGGCTATATCAGTCAGTCAGCAGCCAGGACCACTGCCCTGGAGAACCCAGCCCAAGACAGCAGCCTGTAGACTCAGGAGCTAAACAATGGTTTATTGTCCTATGCCACCAAGTCCTAGGATGAGCCATCATACAGCACAGGGACAATAGTCACTGACAGGTCTCCTGTTGGTGCTGTGAGCTGTTGGTTCTTTCTGGAGAGGAGCTGGAAACCGAGGAAGCTGGTGGTCCTTACAATATGGGTGCCCAGCACCCTCTAGGGTCAGCCCTCAGGAGCATCCCGGAGGCAGCAAAAAAGGAAAAGACAAAGACCCGGGTGCTGCAGCAGCTTTACTGGGCATCTAGGAGGGGCAATGCTCCGTCTGGGGTCATGGTCCCCAGGGGTGAGTCAAATCTAGGTTCTGCTGCACGAACTTGTCTCGGCAGGCCTCGGATGGTCCTGGGAGCTCAAAGCCGTGAGACCTCTTCCTTCTCTCCTCCTCCATGGTCCCCGGAAGCCCTCCTCCACCTCCAGGATTGAGTCATGCCATCTATGGTCCCAGGGAAGGAGAAGCTGGAAAGTCTTGGACCTTCCAGGTCTGTGTCTCAGAGTCATAACCCGCTGGGGAATTACCCTGACTGGGGAGAGCTGCCTCCTCCACAAAGGTATTTCCAGGGCAGCCCAAATCCAGTGACTAATGGGCTATGGGTGTAAACTTTCGTCCCTTTTTACAGTGTGGGACACTGTGAGAGCTGCCCCAGCTCTGGAGCCTTGGCAGTGGACCATGCCACAGTCCAGCTTCTGCCTGTGCTGAGCCCCAGCCCCACACAATCTACCTACTTCCTGGGGAGGGGTGACCCCCCGAGGTACTGTCTTGGTCAGTAAGTACCAGAGCTCCCCGAGGCTGTGGCCCACTTTCAGTCCTGCCATGGACAATCTGGCCTGCAGCCCCCAGAAGCACAGATGTACAATCACAGTGACACGTTCAGGCAAGTCATCCAGGTAGACTCTCAGCAGGTTCCTGAAACTGTCCTCAGCGGCGCCCAAGATCTGTCCGTCTGCTTCTGACTCTGAGGTCCCCAAGAGAATGGGAGAAGTAAACTTCCTCCATCGCCTAAAATCTACCACAACTGGGCTCCCAGGACAGCTGCTTCTGAGGCAAACACTAGCCTGAAGGACTTTAGGCTGGTTTATGTTGCTGTTACAGAATACCTGAGACTGGGTGGTTTATAAAGAACAGATATGTTTTGGTTTGTAGTTACTGAGACCAGGAAGTCCAAGACTGTGATTTGTTCATTTGTTCTCTCTCTCTCTCTCT